CACTAGTTCGGGTGATGAGAATAGTGGACTGCGATGAGAGACCTGCAATGGGCTATCTATTTGCAACATTCCATGCTGCAAGAGACGAAATTGTGAAGAGATTTCAGCGAAAGAAAGAGTTAGCAAAGCCTTTCTTGGAATACATAGATGCACGGTGGGATAAGCACTTTGATAAGAATCTCCATGCTTCTGGCTTTTGGTTCAATCCTAATAACCAGTACAATATTGAACTAAGAGAGAAGTATAACTTCACTACTTCTGGAGTTCTTGATGTCATAGAAAGATATGCTGGCAAAGATATTGCTCTTAGAAGTGCTTTGACAAAAAAATGAAGATTTTTAGGAATGGAGAAGGTGATTTTGGGCGTGCAACTACTATAAATGATTGCTTGGGCATGCTTGTTGGTAACTTCATTACTTCTAGATTGCTGTTTTTTACTCTTCCAGTTCATTTCAGCACCACTAACTTCTGTTTTGTCACATAGATGAGTGGTGGCAAACTTATGGCTGCAGCGCACCAAATTTACAGAAGCTTGCCCTGCGTGTGTTGAGCCAAACTTGTAGTTCTTCTCGATGTGAGAGGAGCTGGAGCTACTTTGAGCATGTGCACTCCAAAAAAAATAGATTAGAGCATCAAAGGCTAAATGATATTGTGTATGTTCATTGTAACCTGAGACTGCATCAAAGGTACCCCTTCTGGCCTTCTCTAGTTCCTTAAATTCATTCACAGCTAGCTGCTAGCCTGTTCTGTAACATTCATTCACTTGCACAGCTAGCTGCTAGCATGTTTTCTTGTTTGAACTATTTGATAAATAATATATTGTCTTCTTGTTTGAACTATTTGAATATTAGGTCCAAATTTCGTACTAGAAATCATGACCCAATAAGTTTGGAAGAAATTGGAAAGGAAAATGAAGCTTGGATCTTAGAAGACAATCCACCTCGCCTTAACTCTGAAGAGCTGAATGCCTGTCGCAGTGAGCTGTCCGCACTGAGTATACAATGCAGTGATGGTAATGTCCCGTATCAATTGTGAAATCAGTTCAACATACATACACATTTTTGTTTATTTAACATCATATCTATATTGATAAAAAAATTCAGAATTAGTGCTAGACTTGGATGTTGTTGAGGCTGATGCTATGGAAGAAAGTGATGAGATTATGGACAATCGGAACCATGAAAGGGAGGAAGATCTATTTAATTACGATGGTATTTCATTTGATGTTGGTGGACCAAGTTGTGATGCTGCACCTGAAGATGAATATGATCCCTTGAATTTTTATTGAGTACCATCTACCATGTGTTATGTCTGTGACTTTGTATCTTTTTAGTATGAACTTGTTTGGAACTTTTAGCATGCCAATATGTTATCACGCACTTGATATTTTGTACTAAAGAACCTGCAAGCTTGTGTTGCTGTTGCTGTATGCTGTGAGCACTGAGTGTGAGCCGTGACAATGACAGTGTGCTGTGATTTGATATTTCTATGATGTATGAAGTATGAACTATGTATGACGATGAAACTTAAGTTATTGTGAGTTGTGCAATTAAATTTGTGTTGTTTATCATCTGTCAATTATTAATTATAGCATATATATATATATACTGTTCTGTAGCTGGCCGCAGAATAAGTTATTATGTGGCCACTTTGAGTTATGATAATTACTATACTAATTTACGAGATTATGGTAACTCCCTCATAAGTGATTTACTATGGCATTATGGTAAGTATCATCTTGAATTATAGTAACCCACGTATCGTAAATGTGTATTATCATTATCGTAAATTGGTACAAACATTATCGTAAATCAAGGTGGCTATATTTATTTATTTATATATATATATAAGTTTTTGTGACCGGTTCAATTCGTCCGATTCAAAACAATTGAACCGACGGTTCTAAACGGTTGGACCAGTGAACCGATAGCCTCGTCGGTTCGATCTCTGGTCCGGTCCGGTCTGGTCCTAATAACTTTGGAAACAACAGGCGTGGCGGGGAGTGCGACCGGAAGCTCCTCCGTGTGGAGGCGATCGCTATGTTTGGTGCTGGCACGGGGGTTGCTACTTGGATGGGGGTTTGCGGTTGCGACTGCATTCCTCTAGTGCGTGCGTCTTTATTTCGGTAACTAATCTTATTCTAGTGCGTCTTTATATGTACTAATTTCGTCTTTATATCTAAATAAAGACACTGCTAAAATAAAAAATAGTAATTTTTTGTGTCAAGAGCTACCGGTTTCATGTGCTACCCTAATGATTCTATTTACTTTTTTATGTCTGTGTGCTCTTTCTTATATGTAATATCAATACGTAAAACTCCATGACACTCTTCTTATATTATATAGCAGCGCTCCTGCTAATTTTTCTATCTAAAACAATAAAAATAGATCGTTACTCCCTCCATTCCGGATTATAAATCATCCTAACTTTTCTAGTGTCGTGATATAATGTATATCTATTAGATATATAGCAAAACTATGTACCTTGGAAAAACAGAACGACCTACAACTTGAAACTGAGGGCGTATTACTCAAAACAATAAGAGGTATTAAATTTTTTTCCTGATCTTTCATGGTACACAATTTTTTTCCGGAGCTTTCACGATACAAACTATCGATGATTAGTATCTTTGGTGCTGTGCAAATATTGGGTAAGAGCAATAGTAGTTGTGAGTTTAAACGCAACCCAAAAAATATCACAGGACGTATATATTGATGACAGAAGTATAATTCTTGTAGTCCTCACGTCACTTGCCCAGTTTAAAATAATCCAAGACTAGCAGTGCACCCAAAAAAGTCTCTGACGATTAACAACCTAGGCAACAACAACAGCAGGTGTATTTTCAGGATGTGAACTATGCATTAATCCGCAAAGCGGAACCAGCAGCTCTCGCAGAGCTATAAAAGGTGTGTTTAGTTGCCTGATCTATCCTAACCTGCCTAGTTTTCTAAGCCAGAGCAAGCTTAGCCTGGCTTGTGCTATACAAGATGCACTTGTTTGGTTGTATGGATTGTGTAAGCCTACATTAGAATTGGTGTGTTTGGTTATCTGGCTTGGCTTGCATAGAATCACCTAATCTTTGTTATAGTAAGTTTACCCTTCTCACACGTTCTATTGAACACTTGTTGGCATCATCTGTGGCTGCGTCCAGGTTACATCCACGGCCGGTGGAGGTGGAGCTGCACCCCGCAGTCGGCGCAAGTGCAGTGGGGGCTGGAGCTATGGCCGTAGAAGCACGCCATGGAGGTGTCCCGAACCTCAAGCTCGTCTTTGTCCTCGTGCGGTGGAGCTCCCATGGTGGTCGGCGACGCTCGCGCGTCATGTCGTCCTCGAAGGATCCGGCCATGGCCGCCGGATCTCGCACCCTTCTTGACAGACCCAACCATGGCTACCGGATCCCACGCCTCCGCTGCTCCGCGAGGTTGAGGTGGGTAGGCGCCTGAAGCGCCCGTGGGTCGGAGCTAGCAGGAGCCGGGATGCAGGCTGCCCACGAGCGGTAGGGAGCCGCTACTCACGCGTACGCGCTGGGCCTCGATGAGGATGACAAACGCCGTTTGGAGAGTGGTGGAGGTTGCGCCCAAGATTTGAAGAGGAGAGCGAGGACTGTGCGGGGCTATGACGGGAAGAGGAGAGCAGGCGTCATGCTCACGAATCTGGGAGAGAGAGGGAGCGGGGGGCGGCGGTTGTGGGAGGAGATGTGGCCGGCGGTCTCTCGCGGTGCTTGGCGTTGCTCGCGTGGTGCTCGGCTGCGGCGCTCTCGGTGGCTTGCGGTGGTGCTCGCGCAGAGGGCGATGGAAGAGGAGGTGAGCGGACACGACTGCGGGGCTAGCCAAGCCTGGCTTCGAAAAACGGTCACCCTCCGCGTTTTCGCTAAGCCTGGCTAAGAGTGCGTCGGTGCACTACCAGGGTCTGGCTACGGGCCTTAACCAGGCTACCAAACACTTCGAAGTTGCACTACGGAAGTCTGGATAGGGGGTGCACTCCCAAAATATCCAGAGGTAGCCAAGCAACTCACAAATATGCTCCGAACGACAAAGAAGAGGTGTCGCCAATAGTTTTCAGACGGTGAACAGGAACGGTCCACTCAAAAGTACCCAATACCCAATTAAAAATTCCAAGATCCAAGTAGTACTCGGTAAAGCATTTAAAGCCGCTTGCTTTAACAGAGTGGATGGATTAGCAACATATTGCTTTGTTATACCTATATAAAACTGTAATCCTTTGACTGCGATATCCATCTTTCACCTAATTGCAACAAGAACAAATTCAAGAGACATAAGAGGAGAAATGTCTCTTTTGTACTCATTAGCTTCACTGTAGTCCTGCATTTGTCGCTATCAGTTCTGCGACGAAATATTTTTTTTGAATTGTTTTGCAGAATACAAAGACGCCCAAACGAAATCCACCAAGATACTTTGCAAAAAAATGGCGATGGCAATTACAAATTCACAATGGTTTGACAACGTTCAGTTGTGCCTTTCACTTTTCCTTTTCAAGGTTACACAATAGGAAGTTTGGACCTGGTCTAATTGATTACAGATATAGGAGTATAAAATTGAAGCATACAGATGTCTTTGCGGCGGGGCTATGTAGTTTCTGAACTTTTCTCCCGCATGTTTCTACTACTTGCTGCTCGCCATTTGTGAGATGGGTGCTATGCAACCTGTCTAAATGTAAAGCCTGTGGTTGTGGAGGTACATTGTTTGGGCCAAAACTTTGCCTCCTCGATTTTTCTAACCCTTTAAGTCAACTTGCGATTTGACCGTCGAGACCATGCTGTGCATGCATGGTCCTGATGATAACTGCGGTCGGCGCCTCCAATCTTGAAAACGAATTATGACTCGTTCTTCACGCGTTTTTGAGGAAACAACCAAAAAAAACTTGCAATAACTTTGAGCTTCAGTCCTCTGCTCGTTGCAAGCTCAACTAACCCCTCTTGCAGTCGTCTTGCAGTCCTCATGTGAGCTTTCCAAATCGCTTCGCCGATCCCGACACGCCCAATGCCTACCTCACACCTCCTCTCGCTGCTTCTGGCCGTCACCATCGCTGCCACCGTCGACATCCATGCGCAGGGCATCCCCTTCCCCACGCCGGCATCCACGAACCTCTCCACCAGCTGGACCATCAGCCTCAAGGCAGACGGCCACGGCGCACAGTCCTTCGACTACATGGACAGCACGTCCGTGAGCGTCTTCCTCCTCCAGTCCATCCAATCGCCGCCGCAGGAAGGCCTCTGCTTCGCCGCGTGCTTCTACTGCGTCGCCCCGTGCGAGGCCTTCCTCTTTGGCGTCTGCATCGTCTACGTCGACGGCGGCGGCTTCCTCAGCTGGCCGAACGCGGGCAGCCCGCAGGTGGTCTGGTCTGCAAACCGGGACCGCCTCGTCCGTGAGAACGCCACCCTCAGCTTCACGGCCGGCGGCGACCTACAGCTCCGGAACACCACCGGAGGCCTCGTCTGGTCCACCGGCACCTCGGGCCAGTCTGTTGCCGGGATGACCGTGACCAAGTCCGGCAACCTGGTGCTGTTCAACCGCAAGAATGCAGCGGTGTGGCAGTCATTCGACCATCCGACGGATTGTCTGCTCCCAGGCCAGCCACTAGTGGAAGGGATGAGGTTGACACCAAATGCATCCAGCACAAACTGGACGACCAGCAATCAGCTTTATCTCACTGTCCTTTCTGATGGTTTGTATGCATTTGCTGAATCTTCGCCGCCTCAATTGTACTACCAAAAGACGGCGACCACCAAAACTGGAAGCAGGAATAAAACTTACATGATCCTGACAAATGATTCGCTGGCCATCTTTGCGTCCGTTTCCTCTGCTAATGTATCAACTCTACAGCCAGACAGCATGATCAACACGACGGCTGGAGAGATGGAGTATGTGAGGCTCGAATCTGACGGACACTTGAAGCTGTACCGGTATAAAGGAATAGAAGGATGGCCGATGGTGCAGGACATTCTTGCGGGGCAGGTAGACAGTTGTGCTTACCCAACTGTCTGTGGTGCATACGGCATCTGCATCAGTGGCCAGTGCACATGCCCAGCTGAGACTGACGGCACCGCTACATACTTCAAGCAGATTGATGACCGCAGGATCAACCTCGGATGTGTGCCCATGACTCCGATTTCTTGTGCCTCGCTGCAAGACCACCGGCTCCTTGCACTGAGTAATGTTTCTTACTTCAATTATATAGATACAAGGTCCGCACTAGCACTGCCTCAGATGACTGACGAAGAAAGTTGCAAGAAGGCCTGCTTGCAGAATTGCTCCTGCAAGGCTGCATTCTTTCAGTATGGTGGTAACGACACCTCTCAAGGCTCCTGTTACCTGCCAACACAAGTCTTTTCGTTGCAAGTAAATCAGTGGCAAGAAACTCACTATAGTTCTTCTGCATACCTTAAGGTGCAGGTCACAAGGTCTCCTCCTCCTATTCCTGGTCCCTCGAATCCGAATGGAACAGTGAGTAGGTCCACACCCACAAGAAAGGGAAGGATTGGTGCAGGTGCGATTGTTGGATCCACACTTGCAGGGGTCATTTCTTTACTAGCTGTGATCATCATTACCTTGGTGGTTCTCCGCAGGCGATGTCAGAGTAGAGATGATGAGGATGATTTTCGAGAAGTGCCAGGTATGACTACTAGGTTCACATTTGAGCAGTTGAAAGTAGCAACCGAGCAATTCAGCAAAATGATTGGGAAAGGAGGATTTGGATCTGTATATGAGGGGCAGGTAGGCGAGCAGAGAGTTGCAGTAAAACAGCTGGATCAAGCTGGTCAAGGAAGGAGGGAATTCTTGGCAGAAGTTGAGACAATTGGAAACATTCATCATATAAATCTGGTGACCTTGATTGGCTTTTGTGCAGAGAAATCTCATAGACTCCTAGTATATGAATATATGCCCCAAGGATCATTGGACAGATGGATCTATTCCCAAGATGCAAGTATGTCTCTTGATTGGCATGCACGATGCAGGATTATCACCGATATCGCCAAGGGCCTAGCTTATCTTCATGAAGAGTGCAGGCAGCGAATTGCTCATTTGGATATCAAACCACAAAATATCCTCTTAGATGACAACTTCAGCGCAAAGCTTTCTGATTTCGGGCTATCTAAGATGATTGACAGGGATAAGAGCCAAGTGATTACGAGAATGAGAGGCACTCCTGGATACTTAGCTCCTGAGTGGTTGACATCACAAATCACTGAGAAAGTTGACATATACAGCTTTGGGGTAGTAGTCATGGAAATTATCAGTGGGAGAAAAAATCTTGATTATTCTCAGCCTCAAGAAAGTGTTCATCTCATTAGCATATTGCAGGAAAAGGCAAGGAACGATCAGTTGGAAGATCTGATTGATATGCAAAGTGACGAAATGCAAATTCACAAGGAAGAAGTGCTTCAGATAATGAAGCTCGCCATGTGGTGTTTGCAGATTGATTACAACAAGAGGCCTCAAATGTCAGTTGTTGTCAAAGTACTGGAAGGTACAGTGAATGTGGAAACTAATATAGAATTCAACTTCGTAGCTATGGTTCCAAACAACCTTGCCAATGATAGGAAATCGGCTTCATCAGCTCCGCTTCCGGCCTCACATTTGTCAGGTCCCAGGTGAACATGGAAAATCTAAGCAAAGATCGCAGAGAATATTTGTATGCACAGAGTAACCATGTTTCTGTTGCACATAATAATATATTCTGATGTACTAGATTTCTCAAAAACATCAAAATACCATAATGTTTTTTAATACCAAATGAAGAATATCCTGAGAAGAAGTGTAATATTAATGTTATTATATATATTCTACCAAAGAATGACAGAAACAAACATAGAATAGGTAATATCTTTGTTAGTGTTAGGTTTTGTGGTCCTGTTTTTTCAAGAAAGAGTGGTAGTCCTATGTAACTGAGTATTGCACAAATTTAGAGAGTATACTTGTAGCTGGTATTATAGCTACAGGCTTGGATTACTATTTCGTTGCATGGGATTTTTAAAAATAAAGGATTTGCAAAAGAAACCATGCGCAACAGATGAGCAGTAGGAAAATATAAGCAGGCAGAAAGGTAATTGATGCATGAAGTTGTGATAGTATTATGTATTATGTTTCATCTCTAGATAAAAATGCTACCTGAACAGAGAATTCTTGCTTAATCATACTTCCTAAGAAACCATATACATTTTCATTCCTCCGGTGTGCACTTCTATTTTGAGATGCCCAGTTGCTAGTCATCATACTGTGTCACTTGTCTGACACCAGGAATTGTAGCTTGTCTTCACTTCCCTTCTGGGTAGAGCCGATAGAATTATATGAGGAGGCTGCTAGCCTGCTACTACTTTCCATTCCTTGATATTGCTACGAGCCTGGGGTTGAACATGTTTAGCTGATATGAATTGCTTGCTCTGTTAGGATTCATGTAGAAGCACATCTGACAGCAACATTCAGCAGTTCATAGTGGCACAATGATGAATTGATCCAACCCATGCAGATATCTGAGATCAAGATAATTCAATGTTCTATATGCCACAAGACGGATACAATTCACCTCCCAATCCACTCAATATTTCAAAAAAAAAACCTTCATGGTGTTCTCACTGCAAGTGGTACTATCCATCTGAACATTGACCAATTTTTGCCCATAACTAAGCTCCCCTGCACCAGAAGGGATCAAGCAGCACCCTTACCAGAAGCGAATCGAAGTGGGAGGACCCCCTGGCTCTGCATACCTTCATCCACCTGGTTTGGGTCATAAGAAAATGACTGTAATTCATCACGTCCGCCTTTGCTTGCACCCAGTTGGTTCATTACACAAATACTCCTTTCTCAAATGCAGCACAAATATGGAGAACTGGAGACAGCTGAACTGCAAACACGACATCAATCTCAACCACTTGAACACGACATCAATCTCAACCATTGACAAGTTTAGCTGTTAGGATTCATCTGGAAGCACGTATGACAGGAAAATTCAGCCGACCCTACCAGGAGAAACACGCCAACACCACATGACCACTTCATCCCACCACTTAACCCAACTGGCAGTGGTAGGCACGGATACAGGGAGGGTGTCGTCTCAGCCGCGTCCGGCTTCCACGGCGGCGGGGGTGTGGAGGGCGGGCCTGTTCGGTGCCGCCGCTGCGGCTGCGACTGCCGGCAGCAACAGTGCCACGCAGGTGTACCCTGCAGCAGCAGCCGCAGCGGCAAAAATCTACGGCGTCACGAACGGCGGCTCCGCCGGGGAGGACTTAAGGACTGAGGAGGACTGGAGCCGGGAGGAAGCGAGTTGCGGCGGCGCCCAGGGCCCACGGAAGGAAGGCACGAGTGGATTCCACTCGACCTGGTAGCTGCTTTAATGGGCCGCGAGTGGGATGCATGTGGGCCATTTAATTGGGTCGGATCGAAGAACCCCAAAAAGTCCAATTTATCTCTTGCTTTCTTTTGATTTTCTTCCCTAACTACTAGAAAACTAATTTTCTAAGCTCTCATGCTAAAAATAAAAAAAATCTAAGCTCCCTCAACTTTAAAAACAGTTCACTTTTGCATCTACTAGTAGTATGCCCGTGCTAACGCTACGGTGACTTTTCAGTTGTGCTAAAGCATCGGGGTGATACAACACAAACAAGCATAATAAGAAACTAAAGAAGATAACAAGTGCAAACTATGGAGTCTAACTCAGATAAAGCATGAGGCAATCATTTAGCGACAAAAATAGATAACCTGGAATAATGAAAGTGTATGACAATGACACAAAGATAAAAGGAATATGAAGGCCATAGATTGATCCACGTCATCAAACAAGGACATCTGTACACACTTCCTTTGAATACGAAACAATGCAAATATCACTCCCCTAGAGATCATTTGAATAGAAGGATGTGACATTGCATCGAGTATGTATTTTCATACTATCCTAAATAAAGGCCAGATTGATCCACGTCATCAAACAAGGACATATGTACACACTTCCTTTGAATACGAAACAATGCAAATATCACTCCCCTAGAGATCATTTGAACAGAAGGATGTGACATTACATCGAGCATGTATTTTCATACTATCCTAAATTTCCCACCATGTGTCAACAGAACGGAACTTCGTCAACAAAACACCAAAATTCACCATCCATTTGTCATTTTGTTCCTTTCAAAGTTGTGTCTTTTGGCATCCATTCAGCATGTTAACAGCAGCTAGCACTAGCACTCTAAACTTCCAGAATATGGTTATATCCTGAAAAGATGAAATTACAATTTCTGAAACTTTAGAGCACAGGCCTTTTGAGACATTTTTAATAATTTTCTGATATTTTGTCACAATAACAAATGTACTTCCTATCAGATACAATCTAACAATGCAACGTAGAGGTACAGAAACAAAGTTATTTATTGATCAATCAGCTATCGTTATGGCCAAGCACTAACCCAGGAAAGAATAGCAGAAACAGATAGATAATTCTTTGCGAATCGGAGGGAAGTACATGTTACTGTGCCCTGTTTCCTTGAATTTGACATCAGGCTCATTACCTAGCAAATCCCATAATTTCACTCGCACTAAAGCACCCTGAAAGAAGAAAATTGTATATTCAAAAGCATGAAGCCAATGCTAAAATTAGAAATATCAACTAGATATCAAAATCGTAATGTTTAATGTATCTTAGTCTAGCTGCGTAACTTGTCTATTTTGTCATTACTGATCAATAATTATGTACACTGCAGAAAACAATCATATGCGAAAAGCAATAATTATATACACTGTAGAAACTTTTCGCAATGAACGATCGACCGTCGGTAGAGTGCTAGAGAAAGCAGTTTCATTTCTGAGGATCGTTATCTGGCACAGCAAACTATAAGGTCATTAGGATCGAGTATTGTTGGAAGCATGTTTCCCAAAATGATAGCTAACAAAAGCTAAGAAGAAATTTTGTAAGTAAAATGCATCTAGCATCGTATGTTGGTTCCTCTCCCTTTTTAGTAGCTCAACTTCAGATATTTGAAAGCTGGTAAACATAAAAACAGTGCAAGTTTATATTTTCCAGAACAAGAAAATACCTTGATGTACTGGTGGTTGTAACATTTTTCATGATCTGTGAAATGCATGGGAATAGTTTGTAAAACTTATTAGAATCTAGTGATAAAAGGATAGCAAACAGGCCGAGTGCTGAATAGAGTGATAAAAGGCACAAATCCGATGCCTATGCTTCGCCCCTTGAAGTAGAGAAGGGTGGGCCGATCTTTATTCTCTGATAGTAGTGTGCCATGCTAACACTATGGTAAAATAGAAAACAAGATAAAATTTGCAAAAAAAAAAAAAATTAGATTCATTAATAGTGATGTCAATGCCAGGTATTTTGTCCTTATCCTTCTCAGAACCAATCCAGTGTAGAAACAATGAAAACTAAAGAAAAAGATTTGCATGAAAGATCAAACAGTTTCCTTCAAATCACCTAGAAAATCATCGAAACTTAGATTTGCTACTGCAGACAGAAGTCACGCTCAAGCTTGAGGCATAGCCATTAGTATCTGCTCAGTTCTAAACTTCAGTTATATAATTCAATCTTGAAAACTATAAATCTTGTTGAATTTAACAGGTACTTTATTGATAAGAATAATATAGCTATAAACACTCATAACAAGTCCATCCTTGGGTATAGCCCTATTGGCTTCACTTTATCTCATAAACAATACACATTTTCATTGTGTCCCTGTCACATACTATATCAGAGTCACTGATACAGGAAAAGAAAGAACAAAGAAAATAGCCCAAAGCTATACCTTTGCACCATATTTTGCCTTTAATTCCAAGTTTCCACCAGTATGATCATATTGATGATGGGTGTTCAGTATATAAGTCAAGTTCTAGTTTCTCTTTTCCAATGCATTTATAATAGGCACGGCCTCACTTTTTATGCTGCTTGGACTTATATAACAATAGTTAATAATTAGAAGAAATATAATTAACCACTCTAGAGAAAAATTAATTGGTACATACACTAAAGTTTGCAAAAACTGTTATAATAAAGCTATCATGTGTATTGCCATTGGGGTCAAGCTCTCCCGTGTCCAACAACAAGGTTCAGGTGCCCAAAATCAATATCATGGCATCATCACTAACCATACATGAAACCTGGGAATTTAACAATAGAGCATTTAGTCAGCTTCCGATTCCACGGTATGATGACAATGAAATTGCATTTGAGACAACAGTTATCCAATACCAGTACATGATCATCACCAAATTAGCAGTGGGCAACACTAATACTCTAATCCAATAGCCACATCAATTTACAATCCACACTTCATCACTTAGCCGGCTTGCATCTTTATAAGCCTCCATAATGTACACATGAGTTTACACATGAGTTCACTGAAACTGCAAGAAAAAGTCCCATACGAACAGGTTAGAGTTGCTTATTTCTGTCAGATAATTAAATACAAAAATGAGAAATATCCCATCCAAACCCCGTCTTATTCCCAGCTACTGTTTGGTCGTTGAACAAGTGAAGATTCGAAAGAAGTAGGTTGTCCGGAGTTGTGGAGTTCTCACCCCATCGCTACTCTCCACCGGCCGGACCTCTGACACTGGATCTCATGATGGTGATGGGGTTCGTGGCAATTGCAGCT